CGATATCTCGATCGTCGTTTGTTTATCTTCGAAAATTTCCTCCGTCGGGACGAGTAAATATGTCAACGTCCTCGCTTGACGTCTCAGTGAGGGAGAGTGCTCGACGAGCCACCACTGGAGATTATAAGAAATTGATAGATAAGGGTCTGAAAAAGCGAACGCATTAATTATTGCGACTCTTAATCTCCGAAATTATTTGATCTGGACATTTCGGCATTTTTCACGGTTCGTTCGAATAAAAAAGCTATGCATTTAAATTCGTCGTTAATTGTACGAGGTTTCAATTTGAAAAAGGCCATCAAACAAACGTAATTAAGTCATAAATTACGACACCTGCGCCGTCTTTTTCGTGATGAGTGGTGGAAATCCATCGCGTGACCATCGATGAGGTATTTTCACGCACAAAAAATGGAAAAATTGGAATGTTGATGATGCCATTATCGGCATAAATGTGATTTTTGGGAAGGTTTAAGTATCGACATCCGCTATAAAATGCAGATTGGTGGTAATAAAATGGCATTTGGTTGCGGGAATACTGTCTCATGCAGTGAGGAATGAAATTACAAAAAAATGTTTTACTATTAGTTTTTTACTATTCTACCAATTTTTTTTTAATAATAATGAGTCTTTATTTAATAAATATATTACGGATAGATTTTAGATAGGAAGTAGCATTTTTACTTCCCGAGCGTAAGCGAAAATAAACATTTGAGCTTCAGATTGCTATTACCTACTGTTGAAGGACATGGGGTGTTATTTATGTCTCTGGTTTTTACTTTACAGCGGTTATCACAAAACTAAAATCGTAAAATCAAATTTTATAATTTTTTTAAAGAATTGGATTTGTCGGATTATGCTTATAGCCTTAGACCAATTTTTTTTTGTTCCAATTAAGAACCTGATTTTTTAGATTTGCTCACACAGGGTAAAAAAAAAATTAATGAATCAGTCAATTCATTTTCTTCTTTTGCAACAATTGCAAAACTGAATATTTCGAAATCTTGCAGACGTTTTAAAGTTATTGTAAGCATGGTAAATTGTTAATCAAAATATATCTGTTTATTCCCCCCCAAAAAACTGATGACGTCATCATAAAATTTCGCCGAATAAATTCTACCCAAAATTTATTTATCACTGCATTCAGATTTATTTTACATTTGCTTAGACAGGCGGCTCCAAAAAATTAATGAATGAGTCAATTTATTTTATTGATTAAATCATGAACGGTCCACTCCATTTTCCCAGAAAATTTTGGGAATACAATACTGTTATTTTTCAATTTCCATTTTACAATAAATAAAATAAATCAGTGAATAGCCCATTTCATTTAGCTTTTTCTAGTTTCATGAGCAAGCAGTAGCCCCGCCCACCCACCCCTTCTTCGTTCCAGTGACTACTATTAATATTGTTCAGTCCTAGCTTAACAAATTTTTGTCCCGCCCACCCACCCTTTTTTTTCTTAGAAGGTATGTCATTTACCAATATCAAGTTAGCAAGTTAAGATTGATTTTGACAAATGAGTTACCTCAGATTTAAGAATATAAAGGGCCGGTGGGCGGGGCTAGTACTTGCTAAGACAGGATTGATTTTGGCAAATGAAAATCTCTAAGGAAATAGAGGGCGGGTGGGTGGGGTTAGTATAGTTTTGGAAATTTCTTTCTACCCTGTAAAATTTTATTGGCAATAACGAGACGGCCAGTAGTACAATAGCAAGAGATATTTACATCTTGAAGTTGTCGCGTGCCAGTAATTCCCAGGTGTTAGAATGAAGAATAATCCAGGTCCGGACAGGGCCTGAGCATTATTTTATGAGTACCTGCTAAATGCTCTCCGACAAATTCGGGTGAACTGGTGTGAGCCGTAAGTATTTCTTACCATTGTACTACTGTCCACTTCGTTATTGTCAATAAAATTTTATAGAGTAGAATGAAATTTCCAAAACTATACTTGCTAAGACAAGATTGATTTTGGCAAATGACTTACCCTGTAAGAAAACAGAGGGCAGGTGCATAAAAGATCACTCATTTCATTCAAATGAAAAGGAGACAGGGTAGGTGGGCGGGGCTAATTATGCTCTTCTGTCGAGTGGGACTTGAAACTTATAATAGAATCTAGGATGTAAGAAAAGGAAAAAAAAGAGAAAAGCTTATCGTAACTTTTTTTTATTATACTATTTGCTATAAAATTTGTTTCCTATTTCATGAAACTATATTTGCCAAAATGGGTCTTATTTTACAAGTACTTGCTAAGTAAGACTGATTTTGGCAGATTACATGTCTTCTAAGGAAATATAGGGTGGGTGGGCGGGGCTAGTACTTTCTAAGATAAGACTAATTTTTGCAAATCAAATTCCTCTAAGAAAATAGAATGCGGGCGGGTGGCTCTAGTACCTGCTATTGAGATTTTTCGGTTTTTCGATTTATTAATTTTTGAACTTTGGATGTCTCAATTTTTCAATTTTTCCATTCTTCAAATTTTCGATTTCTCGACTTTTTATTTTTCGATTTCTGGATTTTCCTATGTTTCATGATACGATTTCTCTAGTTTTGTGCTCTTTAGTTTACGATTTTTAAATATTTCGATTTTTCAATTTCTCAAATGTTGATGTTTCTAAATTTTCAGTTTTCCGATTTCTGAAATATTTTTTTTTATTTTTCCATTACTCGACTTCCCAAAGTTTCGGTTTCTCACTTTTTCAATTCTTCAATTTTTCAATTTTTTAAGCTAACGATTTTTGGACTTTTCGATTTTTGGACTCGCTGAATTTTTGATTTCTCGGTGTTTTACTTTTTGGATTTTCAATGTTTCGTTAAACTTTTGACTGTTTTATACATCGATTTCTCAAGTTTTCAACTTTTTAATGTTTCAATTTTGCAATTTTTAGAATTCTAGGTTTTTCGATTTCTCGAGTTTTCAGTTCTTTTTTTCAATTTGTCAATTTTCCGAATTTTTGAATTTTCGAGACGGACAGTAGTACTTACAATAGCAAGAGATATTTACAACACTTCGTTATTGTTATAAAGTTAATACGGGATATATGAAAAATGTTTATTAATGACAAAGAATGGATTTGAGAGGAAAAAGAACAATAGCTGGTAAGAGTAACAAAAGATGGGAATTATCGAAAAAACTAGAAGAGCCAAAAGACAATCAAGACAAGAAAACAACTATACCAAAAAATAAGGACTTGACTACGAGAAAACAGGATTTTATTAAAATGAGAAAGATAAGGAGCAAAGAAGTTTGCGGATTCTGCTCAAGACGTCTCAAATTACCAACTTCCTGAGATACTAAAGGTCTTTCAGGAGATTTCCCTTTGTCGACACTGCCAGTTCGAACAAATCCGTTGATTACATCTCTAACGTAAGCCTCTAACGATGTTTATTGAATTATCAAATCACGGTATTTGGCCAGATATTCTTGCTTACAAGTGGTTACAGAATACACACACTCTCCGTTTCTGAATGTCCCATTACGATAATAAGAGCAATGAAAGTGTCTTGTTCAACAGAATAAACGGTCTTCGCTTCCTAGCACAGAAACAAAAATTTTCGTACGGAAGCGCCAAGAGTTTTGAAAACGACAATTTTGTTGTTTTGAGCTTGAATCAACAATAAAAACGATGACTTTAAATCACAAATTACAAATGACTTTAATGACAAGTGAGAACTTTAATAATGAGGTAAGTAAGAACTGGAAGGAGACGAATTTACTGTAGTCTACAAGATCTTAGCTAGTAGTCTAGACAAAAGAATCACAGAAAAGGCGGCCGGGTGGGTGGGCGGGGCTAAGTTTAAGTTTTTCCTATCGAATCTTTTGTGAGAAAGCAATAGCCCCGCCCACCCACCCCCTCTTCATTCCAGTGGTTACTCTTAATATTGTTCAGTCATTTGCCACAATCAATCTTATCTTAGCAAGTATTACACTGCACCAAGCCAAGTTGAATTACGTGTCCTTGTTGTTTCTTGCACTGGTAATACGCTGTGACTACTTTTCTTGTGTGCTGTGACTAGTAAAAAAAAATTTTATTGGTCCAATTAAGAACAAATCACCCCATTTTCTCGAAAATGTGAAGAATGCGCACGTCTTTATATAATAACGATAAAATAAGAATTATAATATTCAAAACATTTTGTTCGATTGTCGTTAAATTAACAATTTTAGTCGTGTGTTTTGAGAAGAGAAACTCATTCAAATCAAACTAATTTCTGCATGACATTCTTTCGATGTACAAACACTTGAGTGTTTATTTATTAGTGTTGAAGGACAAGGGTTGTTAGAAATGAATTATTTTAAGTTCAATATGTCAGTAGCGTAACATGCACACTTCAGAAAGGGTTGTTTTTTAAATTTTGAGAGTAGTATTCTTTATGCCACTGACAGTTCGAATAAACCAAAAAAAAATGACAAGCTAATGAGATAAACAAGATATACATACTCTGCGGAGTTCCTCAGGACAACCATCTTGTCCACATTTTATTTTTCCTATCTATTAATGATATAGTTGTATATTCTTTTAGAATTATTAATGTTAGTTGTTCACATTGCCTCGGATTGAGTTCGTCGGAAACTCTTTTTCAGCTGTTTTGCTTAGTTAGGTCTATCTTCGATATTAGACGGCAGACTTTCTAAATCGTCTATTTTGTATCAAATTATATACACTGCCAGCATTTTGTTCGCAAAATGTACGTGCAATACGTTAAAAGCAAAATAGCAAGTTTTACACGAGTTCCATAAGTTTTAGCTGCTGAGGGTGCATAATTTACACAAAACGTCATCAAAATTAACTTTCTTCGCCACAGTGCCAAGTGCTATTAATATGCGGTTGCTATGGAACGAGTGAAACTCCAGCCGTGACGTGCCCGTTGTGATTGGGCGTTTAATTAAAACAATGACGTCGCATCATGTGCTAATCTGTCAGTTTTTTATTTGTTTACTTTATCACTACACTAAAATTTACTTATCTCGAAAACAGATGTTTTATTTCTTTTTTTTTGCAGATGATGAAACACGCATGGGACAACTATGTGCGGTACGCCTGGGGCAAGAACGAGCTCAAGCCCATCAGTAAGCGTGGCCACAGTGCCAGTATTTTTGGTACTTTACCATTGGCGGCGACTATCCTCGATGGACTGGACTCCCTGTATATCATGGGAATGAAAGATGAGTTCAAGCAAGCGAGGGACTGGGTGGCGAACGAGCTCGATTTGAACAGTATGGTAAGTAAATTATCTAATAACACTAACTTATACTTTTTACTTGGTAAATAAGTCATGAAAAAAGTTTAACCCCCAGTCATGTCAAACGAATTCCCACTGTATCCCTCTGAACATTTTCCCTCCATTTCATCCAGCAAAAAGCTTTGCTCATGAATTTCTCAAAGCAGCCTCACTTATCCATCATTCAGTATCGTCAGAAACGATAACCGCGAAATGACTTATGTAGGTTGCGTTTTAAGGGAGCACATAACGACGAGCACGCGTCGTAAGTACGTATAGTCGATAAGGAAGACTCGCACGTGTTGCGTCGTAAAAACGGCAACCAAGAGATAATCAAGCTCTCCAGTTCATTAGGTTAATAACGCCGCGACTACTTCACGGTTAATTAAAAACCAGGAACTACAATTAACCCACTTCGAGCTACACGATATCTCTAAAATTATTCAAACACGTCTGCCAACTTGCTCATCCAAATAAACATCCGCGAATACTCGACGGAGCGATTTTAATCTTGTCATAAGCCGGCTTGTTCGGATGCTACGAACTCGACAAAGTTCGCATTCAATAGATGCATAAATCTCGAACGGGTTTAATTAGGGCGAGGCTTGTGTAAAGTCGGCGAAAGAGGGAGACGGCGAGATAGAGATGGCGATATTGTGTAAAAGGATTAAAAGTTGGAGGAAAACGGCGGTGTTGCGGTTTCCATTTATTCGCGCTCTATAGTAACCACGGTAAGGTTCAGAGTTATGGAACTGCGCGCTACTAGTTCACGCCCTATTCGTTTTTATGCAGTCGACTCAGCACTCGCCCACAACACGTTTTAATATCGCGATGTCGGAGCGAAATTAATTTTCTAGCGAGAGTCGATTTTAACCTGAAATTTATTATAATCGATTTTTGTCGCTTTGCTTTCTATCGGGCCGAGACACGTTCATCCCTTATCGGTTTCGGGACAAAATGATGTGGGAATTTTTCCGCTTTAGAATCACGTAGGCTATGAACAGGTTACGACGAACATACTGTAATGGATGTGGGAGGCGTAAATTTCGCCCGAAGCACATACGTGTGGATTCTGGATGGATTACACAGTCTACAAATAATGCAAACATTTTAATTAACGGAGTAGGATAGATTAAAGTTTGTTTCTATTCCCATCCCCCTTTATAGTTTAATTTTGCTAATGTAATGTCGAATAAATGAAGACAATATCTGGTTGACCGAGTTTCACTCGGCTCGTTTGGTAGTACATATTAGATCAGATTAGGACAGATAAATATGCGTATAGTATGCATTTTGAAGTACACGCGCTACTTAAAAATACACATTAAAAAAGAAATTCCATAAGCAGTCTTTGTTTTAAACACTGATAAGTGACATGTAGAGATTAAAGAACAGAAAACTGGAATTATTGTTTGACATCTCATTTGTTACCCAAGTTTTCTCTCTGTCGTTTTTTTTTCCTAGTTCTCTCTCTCGACTCTAGAAAAAGGTCACAACCACATTCTTACTGCCAGAAGAGTTTCCCCTCTGGTATGGTTAACATACTGAGTTACCGTGCTCTTTTGTGTTATTCCTAATTTCTCAATCTCAACCCTGCTCCCGAAGATGCCATTTACGAAAGTGTGCGAAACGTTGAGCCCAAAAACTCAAATAACACGGTCCCATCCCCGAAAACGATCACATGTTGCACTGACCGTGGAACCTCTGAAATGAATGCTTGACAAAATAATCTCAATTCAACACACTTTCGTGTGCCATTTATCCGCTCACTGTTTAGTTTTTGGTAAATTTTCTCACCTCAGGAGGTGAATTTCAACGTCCTCTATACAGTGGAGTATGTTTCGGTACGTACAATTGAAGATAAAAAGGTACGTCAAACGTACTGTCAGACTGTCACCCAAACTTCTTATATAAAACAATCTCGTGTTCGTGTAGTGTCATCTGATGTTGCCTAGCAACAAATATAATTCACTGCCTGAAAATTACTGAAAATGCATGAAGCTGTAATTTTCAGAAGTTAAAACTATGATCAATCGATTTCTTGACCCAAAAAACCCCTAACCTATAAATTTCATCGAAATCGTTAGAGCCGTTTTCGAGAAACCCATTACATATATATATATAATATCTGGTTGACCGAGCTTCACTCGGCTCGTTTGGTAGTATTAGATCAGATTAGGACAGATAAATATGCGTATAGTATGCATTTTGAAGTACACGCGCTAGTTAAAAATACACATTAAAAAAGAAATTCCATAAGCAGTCTTTGTTTTAAATAGTGATGAGTGACATGTAGAGATTAAAGAATGGAAAACTGGAATTATTGCTTGACATTTTTATTAAAATCTCATTTGTTACCCAAGTTCTCTCTCTGTCGTTCTCTTTTTTTCCTAGTTCTCTCTCTCGACTCTAGAAAAAGGTCACAACCACTTTCTTACTGCCAGAATGGTTTCGCCTCTGGTGTGATTAACATACTGAGTTACCGTGCTCTTTTGCGTTATTCCTAATTTCTCAATCTCAACCCTGCTCCCGAAGATGCCACTTACGAAAGTGTGCGAAAAGTTGAGCCCAAAAACTGAAATAATACGGTCCCATCCCGGAAAACGATCACATATTGACCCTGACCGTCGAACCTCTGAAATGAATGCTTGACAACATAACCTTAACTCAACGCACTTTCGTGTGCCTTTTATCCGCTCACTGTTTAGTTTTCCGTAAATTTTGTCACCTCAGAGGGTGAATTTTAACGTCCTCTATACAGTGGAGTATGTTTCGGTACGTACAATTGAAGATAAAAAGGTACGTCAAACGTACTGTCAGACTGTCACCCAAACTTCTCTTATAAAACAATCTCGTGTTCGTGTAGTGTCATCCGATGTTACCTAGCAACGAATATAATTCACTGCCTGAAAATTGCTGAAAATGTATGAAGCTGTAATTTTCAGAAGTTAAAACTATGATGAATCGATTTCTTGACCCAAAAAACCCCCAACCTGTAAATTTCATCGAAATCGTTAGAGCCGTTTTCGAGAAACCCATTATATATATATAGATATATATTTATATATATACGTCAATAATAACTTTTGGCCTCGCGCCAGATTTAGGCAACAAGTAATGGGAGTATATGAAAACCACATCCTAGCCTCAAACCTGTCATATCAGTGTTCAAATTTGTATTTATGGTTGCATCATTTACAACAACCGAATGCTTGACACGTTGTAAAGTAGGTAAATATTTGGAGTTATAGTTTAAACTGTTTTCGAGTAAAAGAAAGAAAAAGTGGTATGAATCAGTTTATTCAGAAACAATTTTTTGGAATTAAAACAGCCACATAGAGGCTGAAGAAATTAAGATAATCAAAGAGAAAAGAAAACAACTTAAAACTAGGAAAGCTTACTTCGTAGTAAGTGCAATTATATTCTATGAACATTTAATACTACTATAAAACACCAAAGTAGATTATTCATATTTCTTATGAAGTTAGAGATTGCAATTATTAACAAAGTTGACAACGTATGGATAAAGTTAAATATATATCTTTTAGTCAAAAGAGGTGTCTGCATAATTTGTTACAGTGTGTTTGCAGGTATATTTGTACAATGCAGCAGCTGCTGCATTCACTATCCAAATGTACTGTATAAATAATGATTTGTCTGGTGTATGGTGCGGTCTTAAAATTAGGTATTTTTACTATATTTCAATTGGATAAATATTTTTACACATATTTGTAAATTCTCGTGCTTTGCCAGTTTTAGACGTTGGAATTTTAATTATTAGCGTATCGTTTTTGTCTTGAATGCCGTCATTATTTTTCAATTTATCCATTCCACATGCTCCTACAACTTCTAATAAAAAATAAACCTAAAACATAATGATTTATAGACAATGTGATTGACCTTGTTTGAGATCACCTTTAACATCATGTACATTTAATCACGGGCTTCTGTTAAAAATTTTGGTAAGTCTTCTCTTGTAAATATATTTGATTTCTTGGCAATGTAACCTATATTTTTTGCTTGAAAACTTGGTGTACTTAGATATATCTATGCTGTTTTTTATTAACAGAGTTGACTTTAACTACGACTATGCAGCCCAAAGTGTTAAAGATTTCACAGAATTTGCTTTTTCAGCGAAATACTCGTATGCAATGAGGTGTTCTCCATATATTTTGCATGGTTGTTTCTGCGCAAAAAAAAAAAAAAAAATCATACCGCTTTTCATAAACTGTGGCTGAGTTTTTAGGTAATAAATTTGATATATTATCTGCCAGTTTTTGCAAGTTCGGTCGAATGCATGTAAACTGCTTGTTATTATTGCTATCCATCTCTATTTTGCAATTGCTGCAGATCTTTCTGCAAGCAAAAATATTAAAAGTGCCGAAAAATAAGAGGTATGCTTCATACTTTCATTTAAAATGGGCATGTAAGCTAATAATCTGTTCTGTAATAATAATAAAAGCTTATTATAGGTTATGTAGATACAAGAAAATTGTTCAAATTCTTCCTTTCCGCATACTCCTACAACTTCGAATAAAAAATATACCTAAAACATTATGTTTTATAGACAATGTGATTGACCTTCTTTGAGATTACCTTTGACATTAGGTACATTAATCACGGGCCTCTGTTAAAAATTTTCGTAAGTTTTCTCTTGTAAATATATTTGATTTCTGGGAAACATAACCTATATTTTTTGCTTGAGAACTTGGTGTACTTAGATTATATCTATGCTGTTTTATATTAACAGAGTTGACTTTAACAACGACTATGTAGCCCAAAATGTTGATTTCACAGAATTTTCTTTTTCAGCGAAATACTCGTATGCAAAATGAGATATTCTCCATATAATGTTTTCCATGGTTGTTTCTGCACCGAACAAAAACTTATTACAGGTTATGTGGATACACATTGTTCGCTGCCATAGAATGTCGCTGCACTTCAAGAAATCCGCTGTTGCCATGCAAGGTTGCGACGTTGCGAGATTACGCGCAAATTTAGTTAATAAATTACACTGGTCTACAGTGGTTTTGTTGCCCTAGATATAAGATTGATTTTGGATCTATGTATGCTCATAATTCATGAAAGTATCAATGATTTTGTAAAGTTTGCTCTCGTTTTCTTTTAAATCTTTATTTTCATTGTATATTACAAAAATCGGAAAACAAAAAACAAAATACCAGATATATTTATAATATCGATTATATTTTGAAAAATTAGGATACATCGAAGTAAATAAAGAAGAAAATTTCGAAAACATGTTATATTTCCATAAAACGCCTTTTATGAGCTTTTCTCTTATAATTTTTCAGGGGACAATCTCTTTTTAAAGACCAGCAGTAATCTGCCATCATATGACAATCCCATCGACCCTGATATCTTTCCTCCATTACTTTTAGATCCTGATGGAACCGCTCTCCCTGTTCCTCACTATAATTTCCTAAATTATCCGGAAATTTATCCAAATGATTGCGGAGATAGTGTAATTTGATACTCATGTTTGCTCCTAGAGTCTCAAAGTTTGTCAGCATATTTTGTACAATTTCTTCATAATTTAGTGCTTTATGGTTACCTAGGAAATTTTCGACTACCAATACAAAACTTTCCCAAGCTTTACTTTCCGGAACAGTCATAACTTTAATAAAATCTGTGTCTTTCATCATTTTAAAATTAATTAATTTAAAATTTTATTACTAACAAGCCGATTATTGTTCGAACTATATGATATGTAAAAATCATAAAAAAAGCACATTCAATACTTTTATGGATATATTCGTAATTTAGACACTTGAAAACATAAAAATTTACAAAGATATCCAGGGCAACATAAAATTTTTTTTTTTTTGTAGAGCTGTGTTATATTTATAAAATTAATAAACCGGATGTGTTTCTAATAACTAATAAAAAGGGTTATCAAAGAGTATAGAATTACTGCTAAACCGAAAAACAATTTATAACCTTGTAAAATGTAATTGTGGAGGTAGATAATACTAATATGACAACACCGCATTTAATTTCTGTGCCGATTTTTGAACATAGAAAAAGCACATTACTGCGCGATTTCGAAAAAAGAAACATTACTATTTTTTAGCAGCTTTTAACCTCTCTTTTTATATTTCTCCAAGAAAGGCGTACATGTCAATTTTAAAATACCAGTTTAAGTTGGAGTAAGAAATTTACTTTTATGGTTGTGTGTACAGGCACTTCTACAATTAGCAGTACAAGTTTTTGTTAATCTCTTAAATTATTTTTCTACTTATGGAGCCAATCTGGATATTTGCTTAAGGGTGTGCTTTAAATTTTAGGAATTAATATCTTGGAACGTCATGCATCGTTTCCATACATTTTTGAGCTTCTGTTTTATTTTCTAATCACTTGGAATTTCATTTCCAAAAACAAAAATTGTACTTGAAATGATAGATATGAAGCTCATTATTCCGAAACATGTAATTATAAGATCAAATGTTACTATGCATGAAATGTATTATTTGATATAAAGTAACTTTTGATATCGCATTCTTTAGATTTTTTTCATGGGTATTTTACAGTTAATAGTATCACCATGAAATTGTTTCTTAGATTTGTTTTTCTTTCTTCCGGTATTTGAATCACAATTTGATAATCTTAAAACAACGACAATTAATTTAACTTTAGCTTGAGTTGTGAACCTGAAAGTTGTTTTGTATGAATTTGTGTGACAAAAGTGTACTAAAGATGAAAATAATTACTTATACTCTTTTATAATCATTAATTACATTTGTAGCAATTTTTGGCCTCTCGTATTTTATATTATTTTATCCAAGAAACAAGCGAAATTTGAAAAACCAGTTTAATATTTTAATGGAGCAGTAATTATGAACCCAAATGTTGCTATGGATAAAAACTATTATTTGATTTAAATTAACTTTTGGAATCACAGTCTTTGGATTTTTTTCGTAGATACTCCACAGTAAACAACATAATTATAAATCTGTCTCTTTGATTTATTAATTTCTCAATCCGCCGATATTTGAAAGACGATTTGGTATTCTTAAAACAAGGGTTACTAATTTAATGTCCCCTTGGACTGTGAGCCTGAAAGTTGTTTTGTATGAATCCATATAGGGTCAAAGTGTACTAAAGATGAAAAGAATGACTTCGTTTATGGCAACTTTTGGCCTCTCGTGTTTAATATTTCTCCAAGAATGTTTTTAATTTTGTAAGATATTGGGCCAATAAAACATACACAGACAACATTATTTGCAATTCTTCCAACCACCTATGGATTCATAAAATATCAACTTTTGCATCTTTAATTGAAATATTGTTCAATTCTAATCTAAACCATGAAAACTATAATAAAGAACTTCAGTCCATAAAACAAATTGCAATAAATAATGACTTTAAAGTAAAATTAATCCACAATCTAATTGACAAAATAAGATACAAAATTAAAAAAAAAAACAATGTTGCTCGTTGTTCAAAACGGACCATGATACTAAGGAAGACATAGGTAGATATTATTTTCTGGATTTTATTGAAAGATTATCTTACAAAATTAAAAACATACTAAATAGAGTGAATAAAAATGTTAATATTTCATTTATAAAAATTAATTCAACCAGAAATCAGTTACTGAACAACAAAGATAAAATTACTTAACTAGATAAAGCCGGAGTCTATCAATTACAATTTGAATGTTGAGATTGTGCCTTAAATTTTACGAATCCATATCGTGAAATAATACACCTCATGAATTTCACCGGCTTGTGTTGAAATTTCGGGTTTCCAATTTTAAATTTATTAATCTAGTACTTCGTTCCAAAAACAAAATTGTGCCCGGAATGATGGGTTAATTACCTGTTTTCACATATACGAAGCGCACGAGTCCGAAAGTTACCTAACAAACATGCAATTATGAGGCTAAATGTTGCTATGGATGAAAACTATTATTTGACTTAAAGTCACTTTTGGCATCACAGTCTTTAGATCTTTTTTCATAGGTATTTTACACTTAACAACATCATTATGAATTTATTTCTTAGATTTATTTCTCAATCCACCAATTTTTGTCTTAACCTCATAGAAAATGTTTCGTCTTATGGAAAAAATCTGAATCTTTACACTTGGGGGTGTGCCTGAATATATAGCACCGAATATTGCCTCACATGAATTTTACTGCCTCGATTTGACCAAATTTTGGGTTTCCGATTTTAGATTTAATCATGTTCCTAGTACTTTAAGATATGTTAGCACATGAGTCCGAAATTATGAGGCCAAAAGTTTCTATGGATGAAAGCCATTATTTGATTCAAAGTAACTTTTGGCATCACAATCTTTAGATTTTTTTAATGGTTACTTCACAATTAATAACACAATTATGACTTTTTCTTTTAGGTTTATTTCTCTTATCTGTTATTAAAATAACTGCTATTAAGTTAATTTTAGCTTGGGTTGTAAGTTTGAAAGTTGTTTTCTACGATTCTGTGAGGCCAAAGTCTACAAAAGAAGAAAGTAATTTTAGGTTAGATGGTTAAACATTCAGCCAATTATTTGTTTTTATTTATACTACTTAAAAAATTTAAATTATCACTTTAACTTTGAATAAAAAAATATTTTTATGAATGAGTCTACAGATACTTCTACCATTCACAGTCTAATTTTGTCTTAACTTCATACAAAATGTTTCGTATTATTGAAAAAATCTGAATCTTTACACTTGGGGGTGTGCCTGATTATATAGCACCGAATATTGATTCACATGAATTTTACTGCCTCGATTTGTCCAAATTTTGGGTCTCCGATTTTAGATTTATTCATGTACCTTGTACTTTACTGTATGTTAGCACATGAGTCCGAAAGTTATTCGTCATGTAATTATGAGGCCAAAAGTTTCTATGGATGAATGCCATTATTTGATTTAAAGTAACTTTTGGCATCACAATCATTAGATTTTTTTAATAGTTACTTCACAATTAATAACACAATTATGACTTTTTCTTGTAGGTTTATTTCTCTTATTTGTCATTAAAATAACTGCTATTAAGTTAATTTTAGCTTGGGTTGTAAGTTTGAAAGTTGTTCTCTACGATTCTGTGAGGCCAAAGTCTACAAAAGATGAAAATAATTTTAGGTTAGATAGTTCAACATTCAGCCAATTATTTATTTTTATTTATACTATTTTCGTGTGGTATAGCAAGAATAATGGTCAAAAATCAAGTATTTTAGGATCAAAAAACGGCACATCATTTTCCAGATAATATTAACACTAATAAGTCTAAAAATCTAACCAAATATTGACTTTTTTAAAGTGTTATAAGTTTACTGACGAGGTGGCTGAGAAAGGGGATGAACCCTGAAACTGCTATCACCAAAATAGTATAAATAAAAATGAATAATTGGTTGATTGCAGAACTACATAACCCAACTTTATACCCACGCTAATATGGAAACACACATATCAAAATAATTAGCTCATTTATAGCAACTTTCGAACTCTCGTATTTTATATTTGTCTAAGTAGCAAGTACTTAAAAAATTTAAATTATCACTTTAACTTTAAATAAAAAAATATTTTTATGAATGCGTCTACAGATTCTTCTACCATTCCCAGTCTAATTTTGTCTTAACTTCATACAAAATGTTTCGTATTATGGAAAAAATCTGAATATTTACACTTGGGGGTGTGCCTGAATATATAGCATCGAATATTGATTCACATGAATTTTACTACCTCGATTTGACCAAATTTTGGGTTTCCGATTCTAGATTTATTCATGTACCTTGTACTTTAATGTATGTTAGCACATGAGTCCGAAAGTTATTCGTCATGTAATTATGAGGCCAAAAGTTTCTATGGATGAAAGCCATTATTTGATTTAAAGTAACTTTTGGCATCACAATCTTTAGATTTTTTTTAATAGTTACTTCACAATTAATAATACAATTATGACTTTTTCTCGTAGGTTTATTTCTCTTATTTGTTATTAAAATAACTGCTGTTAAATTAATTTCAGCT